AGACACTTCCAATTAAAAGAAAAGAAAAGCATTTTTCTTTTATGGTTAGGTCTGTAAGAGTGCACAGAAAATACCATGCAAATTAGACATTAAGTGTATTGTCTCAGTGGCAGATCAGCAGATGGGTAAGCACTTTTTATTTGTAGCTGAGCTTGAAGACAGACCTTCTTCATATCCCAGCCAATAACAGGAAATGGCTAAAAAAAACACCAAACCCAACACCTGCTTGCATTTAGAACATTCGTATAGATACTATACTTATCAGTATAAGAATTCATAGGCTGCAATCTGATGCTCACTTACCAGAGAGGAAATCCTATTAAATCCAGTGGGGCTTATTCTTGAGTAGCTCTCCATAGATTTGTATTGTCAATTAAAGAATGCATGGTTCGTATTCTGCACAACAAAGCTGGAAGCACATTATAGGCCGCTATTGTTGCCATGACTCCCACAGAAGAGACAGAACCATATATTATTGAAGACTTTGCACATTCTACATCAGAAATTTGTGTTTTTGGTCTTGTTTTTAAGACAAAAATCATTTTGTATAGGTACTCAGGATGTATGGGGGGGAAATTTTAGTATTTCCTTCTTTTGGGAGTCTTTCAGTTTTGGTTTCTTTCAGGTGCAGTTCTTTTTTGGGTTTGTTTCTTTCAGATTCCCCATTCTGGTTTCTGATGCTAAACCCAATGAAGCTCTACACAATACTCAAAACTACAGTGCTTCCCCGAAAATAAGACACGGTCTTATATTAATTTTTACTCCTAAAAACGCAGTAGGGCTTATTTTCAGGGGATGCTTTAATTTTTTTCCATGTACAATAATCTACATTTATTCAAATACAGTCATGTCATCTTCTTCTGGTGGCTGCACAATGGTGGAGGGCGGGGTTTCACTTAACTAGGGCTTATTTTTAGGTTAGGGCTTATATTACGAGCATCTTGAAAAATCATACTAGGGCTTATTTTCAGGGTAGGCCTTATTTTCGGGGAAACAGGGTAGTCCATAAAAAGAGATATGACAAGGCAACAGATAAAAGTGGACAATAACAACAGTGCACAAGAAAGAAAAATCAGCCATCCACACACTTACGCAGGTACTAATAATAGTTTAAACATTACAATTAGCATCACATCATCGCCATCAATTCATCATTAGGAATTACATAGACGAGAAAGGGAAGTCATTATCATAATCAAAATAAAAAACACACGTACTCACCAAGGGCAAAATGATCAAACCCTCCCAATTCAAACCCCCAAAAGATGAAGGTGTGGGGAGTCAGGTCTCCCTTCTATCACTTTAATAGCTTTAGTTCAGCAGCGCAGGCAGTAGTCCATCAGCTGGAGAACAGGTAGCCAGGGACTGTAGACTTTGGAACTCACTCCCTCAGGAGGCCAGACTGGCCCTATCTTTGCTATCCTTCCACAAGCAGGCAAGGACCTTTCTCATCAGGCAAGCCTTTCCCCAGTAACTAGCTACCTGTGTGTGATTTTTAGGTAAACTGCTATGCATTACTGCTTTGACTGGATTTTTAGTACTACTTATGTTTTCCATGTTTGTGTTTTCATTTCTCAGAGTGGCATTTTTCTTTTTTTAAATATCTGTCTACTTATTGATCTTTGCCTCAATATTGCCAGTTAATGATATAAGATGCCTCTTTATTCATTGTTCAGTTTTAGATATTGTCTTTTAATGAAGTTAATCACTGTCGTATACTCATTGTTTTCAACTTTAAATATTGTCTATAAATAAAATAAATTAATAAAAAATACCTTCAAACATCAATAAAATAAAAGGCCAAAAAAGCAGAATAATATGAAAAAATGAAAGAAATGCATAATGTTCCATAACCTCTTTTGGAATCCCGAATCTTTTGTATTTCAGAGAGTCTCTATCATAAAGCCATGAAAGAATCTGGAAAGGGCTTCTTTCATGCTTTTAAAAAACCACTGGATTAACCCAAAAGTCCCATCCCTAAGTCTTACCATATAATTTGCCAGAAAATTTTTGCCTCATCAGATTCCTTAGAGCACTGGTTCTTAACCTTGGGTTACTCAGGAGTTTGGGACCGCAACTCCCAGAAGCCTTCACCACCAGCTATGCTGACTGGGGTTTCTGGGAGTTGCAGTTCAAAAGCATCTGAGTAACAAAGGTTAAGAACCACTGCCTTAGAGTACAAATCCAATGATCCCTCACCACTGAGCCATGGAGGCAGGAGCTTCTGTAAGAAGGAAGCCCCACATATCCTCAACCCTGGTTTATCCTGTGTAGAGACATTTGCTGATAATGCACCCTCCAAATGTGTTGGATTACAGGCTCTAAAGGCAATTACTGTGGACGATGGAACTTGTAGTCCAACACATCTAGGGTAAGTGCTCCCCTCCACAGATTGGAGAAGGCTAATGTAAGAGTTTGATAGCCCAGTCCTATGCATATCTAATTAATGGGGTTCAATGGGGCTTACTCTTGTTTAATGCTAAAAGCATTGTAATCCTGGACTCATGTATTCTGGCATAAGCTCCTTTAAACATAACAAAATATGCTTCTGAGTAGACATCCACAAGATTGCATTGAAGAACAAATAATTACAAAACAGTAATAAAAAGGCACCTGCTCAGACACACTCATTGTTTTATGCACTTACCTGAGAACTTATTTCTTGGGAAATACCTGAAGTATTACAACGTAAGTGAAGAGAAAAAAAGAATGGAAGAGGAAAAAAAACTACTTTGATTTATTTACTATTGAGATCTATATCCCACCTTTCTACGAAAAGTAACAACAATAGCAGCTGTAATTAAAATCAGAAAGAAAGTTAACCAGCACCAGGACACAAGCAGGAAGCTTGGGCAGAATTTGACCTTGCTGTGCTTCAAAGTCTTCTAATCTGGGCCTTTCTCCCATGTGTATAACATTGAGCTATTTGTAAGGTGCCTGTAAAGTACTGTAGACAGAATTACCAGACTGGAACATTATAGTATTTGTAATCTATAACATGCAAAAATCCCATCTTTATGTATGACCCTCTAACTGTTGCTGAATTGCAAATTCCCTGATCCCTTCAAGTAAACTGTTGAGCTTTCACATCTGTACTTTATATGGTAACTGGAAATACTATAGTTTAAATTTATTTTCCTTATATACTTTCATTGGAAGATGTCTTAAAAGTTCCTTCACAGCTGCTCTTTGAGACTCAGTCTTCTGATTTCTTGGCTGCAGTTTCCATCTGGATTGATGACTGAACTGAAATACACAAAATTCTTCTCAACTTTGGTTTCTTCATTGTCAACATGAAAGTTATTAAATTCTTCTGATAAATTCATCTTTCTTTCTTTCTTTCCTGCCCCATTAGATTAAGCACTACTGTGGGCAGTTTACAAGTTAAAACTTAAAACCCCACAATACTCCATATAAAAACAAACAAACAAATGGTTGTTCTCTTAATATTCAACTACGGTCCTGCTTTTTTATTTTCTTCTTTCACCTACATCAGAAGTCATTTCAAGTCACAGCTGATTTCTGCCAGTGATATGGTGCTACCGGCATATCTTAAATTATTGATTTTTCTTCTAGCAGTTTTCATTCCTCCTCCATCTGAATCTAATCCAGTTTTTCTGAATGAGATATTCTACAGAGAGGGAGATAAAATACACCCCCGTCTAACACCTCTGTCTATGGGAAAAATCTGTTTCTCTGTGTTTTAACAATCACTTCAAAATATTTGTAAAAATTAGAGAGATGAAACAAAGCACTACTTCCCTTGCAATTCAACAGATAACAGAACAGCCCAAAATTTTTAAAAATCATGTCAAAATCCTGCTACATGGGCTTCCAAAAATACATTTTGAAAATATAAATATAACTAATTTAAAAAGAAACTTTGTGTATAGCTGTTTGGTTACTTTTGAAATATAACCTATATGTTTGAGTTTTGTTTGCAACTTTGAATTCTGTCTGTGCTTTGTGTAACTGGGAGGAACTTTTCTGGGAGGGAAAGTTTGTCTATCCAGCACAAACAAATCATTTTTTCCGGCCTCTGAATTGAAAGAGAGGCCTACCTCTCTACTGAGTGTTTTTTTCTTCTCTTTGATCTGTTTGTGCCAGTTGTTTGTTGCTACTGATCTGTTTAGTTGACTCTGAAGTGTGTGTGCAATAAAGAAAGCAGCAACTGTGAAGTGTGTGTGCAATAAAGAAAGCAGCATATATAAGTCTGTACTGTAACTTCAAATAACTGTAAGTAAACAAATGCTTTTTAGTCTTTTTCCAACAAATGTCTCAGTGCCAGTTAATGAGAAAAGGGTGGATTTTAGGGAATGCACAGCTATTCTCGGTAGATCTCTGGGCTTTGTGGAGCAAAAGAGAATTTCACCAGAATTTCAAAACTCTACAACACTATCCACTTAGTATTCTAGAAAAACAACCAACAGGTAACAGCATGACTTTTAACTAGTTACTCTGAAGTCCTTGGACTTAACACATATCAATCCTCTAAAACAGCCTGGCAAATCTCATTCCTCCCACTGTTATCTGTTCCTTCCCGGTCAGCCCTAGATAGGCATGCCCTTTCCTCTAATCCCCACCGTTTAGCGATTTTCTTGGTTACCCATTTTGGTAAGAATGTGTCTCATATTAAAAAGCTGAAATGTACTGGCCTTAAAATAAAATACAATTACTGTATGTTTGGAAGTCTCAGCTTTCGGCTCCACTCATCATTGCAAGGTGACCCCTGAAACTTTTTGTGAAATTGCATTCTGCCCTTGGGCTCCAAGATCCTATTGTTATGATGCTTCAACTATTATTATTGTTTATTATATTTATATCCCGCCTTTCCACTAGGAAAGAGCGCTCAAGGCGGCTTACCTCTCCTCGCTCCCTTTCCTTGCTCTAAAATTAAGCTGGCCCAAATCCTGCTGCCCAGCGTCCCAGAAGGGTCCCGGATTGAGGAGCGTCTCTGCAAAAATGTCTCGATCCAGGACGTAATGCCATCGGGCTGCGCTACCCTATGACGGGGGGAAAAATGGTTTCCTCAGAAAATCCCCGGTTTTAAAAGTGAAACCTTCCTTGCCCTCATTTGCAAGGAAATTCCCCATAGATCGAGACGAGCAAAGATCCTTCCTAGCTATCCTCGCCATCGGTACCGGCGCAGAAAGAGGCGGAAGCCGGGAATTTTTCTGGGAACGAGTTCTTAGGCAGAAAACCGAAAGTAACTTTTGCGATCATGTGACGCCCGAGGAAGCGAGCGAAGTACCCCCCCCCCTTTTTTTATTTCTATTGGTTGTGGAGCGGGCTTTCATCAGCACCGTGGCAGTGGGGGCGGAAAACGAAAAGGTAGGGACGCGGAGGGGGAGGGCAAGCCCGATATGGGGGGGGGGGAACTGGACAGACTCAGCTCCCCGAGGAGGATCCTCCTTCTTGCACCAGATCTTCAGCGGAATAAACTGGAAACTGGCCTAGGAAGAAGCAGCCTCCCACCCCGCCTCCCCACCAGGAGTTCCGAAATAGGCTTTATATTCAGATCTTCCGACGCTTGCTTCTTTCCTCGGAAAGAAGTGCCGCTCTATTTGAGTGGGCTTACTTCCTTTGCAATAACAGTGTGCTTCGTGATGGGGTACCAAGAGGATCGCCCCAATCCACTTCGTAGCTAGGCGGAAGTGACCCACACTTGCTTCGTTGTGAAAGTCTTGTTGTGTCTAGGATTCCAGCCGAGACCTTCCCATGTATGTTCTAGCCTTAGCTAGCCTGCCTGCAAAATGGGGAATATGATCCGTTGCTATTAGGATAACAATCTAAAGAGATTTATTCAAAGCTTTGAAAAGTCACTACTTTGGAATACAGCTCCCAGCATCCCGGGAGCTTCGACTGGTTTGGGGATTTGGGGTGTTGTAGTTCAAAATGGAGTATTTCCAAGCTCTGGGATGGTGATCAGTTATCACCACCACCAGTATACTGCCAAATGTAATAAAATCTTCGAACAGTTACAATTAAAAGCATATCTCAAAAATTATGGTAGCAGATCAGAAGCACTGAATAGGCACACTGTAGTCTTTCTGACCAGAACAGTTCCCCTCCTCCAAATTTTGTGGTGAGGCAATATCTTGCTTGGTCCATGAGCCCACACTTCACGTGCGCAGAATTTCTGCCTCAAAACAAGGCACATTCACTAATTATATAGCATGCATACAAACACAGTCTCTCATCTGCGATGGTGGCTGGTGGTTCCAATTTTGCTCTGAATCCACCCTGGGTCTTAGTCTGCACTTTACGATATCTAAGTAAGGGTCATCACCCTAGATATTATTGCTAAAGTGCAGAGTAAAATGTGGAGTGGATTCACAGTACCCCCAAAATGAGGGTCACCAGCCACCACTGCTCCTCTGTAAGTGTACATTCAGAGAGAGAAAGACAGAAGGAGGGAAATGATTGAATTGAATTATGATTCATTATTCCATCATTATCTTCTCTCTTCTCAGCAGGTGAAACTGTGACATCCACAACCACAATCCTCAATGGGTGCTCAGAGGCCTCTGATTGTACCCTGGCTAATAGAGAAGTTGGATGCCCAGGTATACCCAGGGGTATCATGGCTAAACCCCGAACGGACTCGTTTCCGAGTGCCGTGGAAGCACGGGGCACGGCAGAGCGCTGTTCCTGAAGATTTCCAGATCTTTCAGGTAACCATATTTCAATAATTCATATCTGTGTGCATCACATTGCTTTCCCCTGTGGATTGTGGAACTAACACATCACAGCTGCTTTGTTTCTTGATTTCAGGCAGCTCAAGGCCAGCCCTACTGTTAGGCAGAGCGAGGCAGCCACTTCACATATTTGATTGTGGATTTCGTGGGAGTTAGTAGCTAATTGGGGACCACGGAGAAAATTGCTCCTGAATTCAAGGGGGAACTGTCTCTGCTCCTGTCACGAGCTACCTGTGATGAAAAGGCAACAAATTGTTCAATTTTAAAATGCATTGTTGTGTTTTATTTTATTTTTTACTTAGGTGAGCGAGGGGCACTGGTGAGATTTTCTGTGTCATGTACTACCATCACTTGCATGGTTTTAGGTAACATGTGCCTTGGCTTAAATGGTTTCAGGGGTTCCAAAAGGATCCAAGGTTTGGTAAAATGCCCATTCTAGTGTAATGCTTCCAAATGAAGAGGATTTTAAAATGGGGGTCCTACAGCTGGGTAAAACTCCTTGCTCAGTTTACCTTTCCCAGGTATTGCCTACAGTACAGTGGGGTCTCTACTTAAGAACTTAATCCGTATTGGAAGGTGGTTCTCAAGTTGAAAAGTTCTTATGTTGAATCTGCATTTCCCATAGGAATGCATTGAAAACCCTTTAATCTGTATCTGCTCTTTTCCGTCCATAGAAACTACAGTGGAACTTCTACTTAAGAACTTAATCCGTTTTGGAATGGTGTTCTTTAGTTGAAACATTCTTAAGTTGAAGCAAAATTTCCCATAAGAATGGACTGAAAACCAATTAATCCGTTCTGGCTGTTTTTTTGTTATGTAGAGGTGCGTTCATACATAGAAGCATTAGTTCCCATAGGAACTAATGCAAAGCTGGTTAATATGTACTCTACCACTAGGGGGAGAATTTTTTTTAACCTAAGGTTAAAAAAAGAGCAGGAAAGGTTTCTTTTTCCTGTTCTTATCTTGGATTTCTGTTCTCAAGTAGAAGCAAAATTTAGCAAATGGAGCTGTTCTTAAGTTGGATTGTTCTTAAGTAGGGACGTTCTTAAGTAGAGACCCCACTGTATAGCAGTGGTTCACAAAGTTGGGTAACCCAAGTGTCCTTGGACTGCAACTCCCAGAAACTCTGGGGGTGAAGCCTTCTGGGAATTACAGTCCAGGATCACCTGAATTACCCAAGGTTATGAACCTGGCTTATAGACAGGTACAACCAAAATTTTCAAAGCTATGTTGAGTATTCTTAAGTTATTTAATCCCTCGTAAGTGTCTATACTGTGCTATAAGCCAATACTTTGAAGTAGGCTCAGAAGCTAGTACTGATCGTGGAGAACAATGGTTTAACTAAGGTTACTATATCATTAGAAGCCTATAGTCTCTTTTCCTTCCAGGTATGTAATTTCTTGAAAGCTTATATATTTATATTTTTTATATAATTTAGCTGCTTGTAAACTGCCCAGATTAGTGTGTATGCACTAATGAAAAGAGAGCAAGAGAGAGTGAGTAAATAAAGCAAGCAAGCTTCACACAGCTCATTGTGGAAAAACACCATATAAATAAACTTACTGAGAGTGTAACCTCAATTAGGATTGCTCAAGGCCAGATGAAGTTATGATGGATCTAAACCAGACCCAGGATTGGTGGGTTGGAGCTTCGCTGGGTGTACCTTCATAGTCTCCAAACCTTGTGCCAGCATAGAGACTGTCTCCCTGAGTTGGAAGAGGTTTGAATCTGACACAATCCATCTCATCCTGTCTCTTCTCTATCTTTTTTTCCCTCTCTTCTGCTGCCAGCTCTTATCTGGCAAAGCAGTTTTGCTTGCAGATTCTCCGAGCAACAGGTCCCCTAGATCAGCAATGGCGAACCTATGGCACGCATGTCACAGCTAGCATGCAGAGCCCTTTCTATGGGCACGCAAGCCATAAGTCGCTGGATCGCTACTCCCCACTCCCCCCGTGGAGCCAAACCTCAGGAGGCGGCTTCAGCTGCGGTGCTGGTGCTTCAACAGGCGGATCCGGAGTAGCAGGCGCTGGCGGAGGATCTGTAGTGGGGTCTCGAGGCACCTCTGTGCCTGATGGAGTAGCTGGCGCTGGTGGAGGATCCGGAGTGGGGTCTCGAGGCACCTCTGTGCCTGAGATTTCCCCGTCCGCTGCCACTTCTGGTTCTGCCTCTGCAGCATCCTGCCTGCTGATTTTTTTGTTTTTGTTTTTCCGTTTGGGCACGCGAGCCCGAAAAGGTTCGCCACTACTGTCCTAGATCAACTGACACAAAGGCATTTCTGCCAGCAGAAGAGGCAGCGGTGTACTTTTGAGTTATGATTACACTGTAACACTGTAGGGGATAGCAACATTTTGTATTTCTCTTAGATTTTCCTAGTACAGTAGCATATTGAGTCTTTGATTTAGCCTATGTGCAAGCTTAAATGTTAAAGGAGAAAAAGGAGGCAGTGTTCCTATTGGTTATTTATGCCACTGAAACGGGTGCAAAAGCAGCAGTGCATTGCAGCTAGTTTAACCAGTTGTTGCTTGTATTCATCTCATGCCAAATCACATGCCTAGCACACAATCAAGAATACAAGCAGCTACACTGGTGCCTCGCTTTACGATCGCTCCGTTCAACGATGAAACCGCATTACGATGAACTTTAGTGTTCCTATTGGTTATTTATGCCACTGAAACGGGTGCAAAAGCAGCAGTGCATTGCAGCTAGTTTAACCAGTTGTTGCTTGTATTCATCTCATGCCAAATCACATGCCTAGCACACAATCAAGAATACAAGCAGCTACACTGGTGCCTCGCTTTACGATCGCTCCGTTCAACGATGAAACCGCATTACGATGAACTTTACTGACTAGCACACAGCCAAGAATACAAGCAGCTACAGTGGTGCCTCGCTTTACGATCGCTCCGTTTAACGTTGAAACCGCATTACGATGAACTTTTTGCGATCGCTTTTGCGATCGCTTTACAATGTTTCCTGTGGGGGAATTTGGTTCCCTGCTTTAGAAACCAATTCTTTGCAAAACGATGATTTTCAGACAGCTGATCGGTGGTTTCAAAATGGCCGCCGGGTAAACAAAATGCCCCCCCGCTGTTTTCTGGGACGGATTCCTCGCTGTACAGGCAGCGAAAATGGCCGCCCTATGGGGGATCTTTGCTGGACGGTGAGTTTCCAGCCCATCGGAACGCATTAAACGGGTTTTAATGCGTTTCTATGAGCTTTTAATTTCTCTTTACGACATTTTTGTTCTACAGCGATTTCTCTGGAACAAATTAATGTCGTAATGTGAGGCACCACTGTACTTAAGTAGCACCAATCTGCTGCTGCAATTTATACCATCGTACTTATTGTAGCACCAATCTACTGCTGCAATTTATACCATCGTACTTATTGCTAGTGTAAATGAACAAGAAAATTCAGTCTCAGTTGCCTCACCCAATAAGATTTAGACAGCCAAGGCCTGTCATATCTTAGATGCTGGCAGATCCATCTAGCAGAGGTAGGACAGCCATCTCTTGAAGATTATCATCCTTTGGATTTCCTGCTTTAAGCAGGAGGTTATATTACATCCTTTGGAAACCACTTGGTTCTCCAGATATGTTGGACTTCAACTCAGATAGGGCCTAGACAGCATTACCAATGGTGAGGCTCTGTGGGAGTTGTATCTGGAAGTTGAGTCATGGCAACTGAACTTCTTTCTTATTAGGTTGAAACATTTAGCTACTCATCCAAGTGGAATGTTCAAAGTATTTTGCTTTGGTTCCTTTTGTTTTAAGAATGTTGTGAGCTGCCTTGGGTTCTTGCTCTGTCCTTCCAGGTTGGTTTTATTTCCCCCTGGTCTGAACAGGCTCTTTAGATGGACAAAGGACTGAAAGTGAGTGAAAATCCCACTTCTGCAGTCCTTCTGCACCCATTTTCATGGGTTGTTAACAGTTGTTAGCAGTGGTCTTTCTAGTGTGTGTGGTCCTGATCTTTCTGGGGACAGATGATAAATAGGAGACAGATTGTATCTTAACCCTCCACCCCTGTTGAGTGAGGGATTTTCTATATGCACCTCTATGGCCTCCCTGACTCCCCCCCCAAAAAACCACCTATCTTCTTGGTCCAAAATGAATACATCTTGCTCATCAAATGAGTGTCCTTTGTCCTTCAAATGAAGGAACACTATTGATTGGGCCAACGTGGAGGAGATATCATGGATCTCCAACCAACTCTCCTCAGACTAAAGAAGCTACTTGTATGAGTAGCGAAATGTTTCAACTTAATAAGAAAGAAGTCCAGTTGCTGTGACTCAGTTTCCAGATAACCTCACCTGGATGACTGAGAGTCTTCAAAGACATGTGGGGGTTGTAGCCCAACAATACCTGGAGGGCCAAAAGTTGCCCACTCTGGTATACAAGCTTTCTCTTCTCCTGCCTCCCCCCTTTTTTTAGAGGAAAAAATTATGCATGTCTAATTTTTTAAAATTCAATGATATTGTTCCGGGGTAGTTAATCAATGAGTTCAAGGTGACACAGGACTGAGGGAGGGAAGAAACTGACTGTGTGTTGTCCCTGCTTCCTCTTTTATCTGACATAACAGGGAGTATGAGCGGTATAAAAACATGCTAAGGATGGCCTAGAAATCTATCAATGATGGTGTGGAATAGAATCCGTCATGGAGGAGATTCCATGGATTTCAGCCCACTTGCTTAGAGTCATAATAGACACTTCAATAAAGGCTTTTAAGGTTTCTACCTTCAAAATTTTTTTTAGATGTGCGCTTTAGCATTCCCATGTTTAATAGCTTTGGAATGTTCAAAGTATTTTGCTTTAGTTCCTTTTGTTTTAAGGATGTTGTGAGCTGCCTTGGGTTCTTGCTCTGGAAGAAAGATGGCACAAAAATGAAATGAAATGAAATGAATGATCCGTAAAACTAAAGTGGAAAAAAAAATCTGTTAGTCTCAAAGGAACCATAATACTTTTGGTTTTATCCTTTATGCATGTTTTTGTTATACAGGTGGAAACAAACCGGTCTGGCTACCTCTTCAAAAATGGCCATGGAGGAGAGGCAATCTTACCTACTGTTGTCTTCCCCTTCTAGGACTGGGCCATTGCTAGAGGCCGCTACCGCCCTGGCGTAGACCAGCCTACCCCATCAGAGTGGAAGCGAAACTTCCGTGCTGCCCTAAACCGCAAAGAAGGGATAGAAATGGTGCAGGATAGCAGCACAGACTCTGAAGATCCCCACAAAGTGTTTGAAATACAGCTTAATATTCCGAGTAAGGCGTTAAGATGAGACCAAGAGGCCCATTGTGGGGCTTCTGATGGTGAACCTTAGGCAAAAGGTGCACAGTGATGGAAGGACGGTGTGTGGGTGGGCTGGGGGAGCTGCAGTTCAAGAAATCAGTTTTTCTAAACTCTGGACTCTTCACTGAATGCACCATAATCTTGCTCATGACTGTCTTCTCATGCAGTAAATCCAAATGGTGGTGCAGGAAGGGTGGTGAATGCACCGTCTGATGATCCATCCTCTATGTCCACTGGAAGCCAGGAGGTACTTGGAGGTGGTTTATCTTCTAGTGAGGTCAGTTCTTCCTCTTTGTCCAGGTCTCAAGAAATCCAGAATGGGGAAGTGGGAATGGAAAGAAGAAGCAGAGCATGAATCCTCTGTAGCCTTTTCACTTGATTCAAAGTTGTTCCAGTTGTGCATCAGCAGCTGGGGGTCAATCGATGGACTGAACGAGGGTGAACAAGGAGCAGCTCAATCTAAATGGGTCAGAGGTGTTACTGGTTAACAGAAAAGCAACAACTTCTGCTGGGCGGGGGTCACCTTCCCCAACAAAAATTCCCAGAGTTTGGACTGTATAGGTGTACACTTGGATTCATCCCTGAAGTTTTTGTCAGTGTTCAAGAGGGTGTTTGCACAGATGCACACGGTGCTCTAAGTACTAGATGAAACCATTACAAGGTCATATTCTTTCATGAAGCATGCCTAGATTTTGGAATTCTTAGAGGAGTTCTTTTGCTTGGTCCTGCCACCATAAGAGACCTATTTGGCTTTGGTGATGATGTGAGGGAGGGGCTTCTCAGTGACTGCTCCCCGGCTCTGAAACATCACGCCAAACGGCTTCACTGGTTCTTAATCATTTTTTTAAAACAACATTTCAATTGTATTTTAAATTTTATTTTTGCTACTTCTGTTATGTGCTGTCAAATTGATTCCAGCTTATGGCAACCCAGTGGCTTCCAAAAGGTTCTGTTAGTATGGGCCTAAATCCTATTGTGTAATTAGGCCTGTGAGGGGCAAACAACGTGGTCTACCGTGGCTTCTTACTGGCAGTCATCAAGTCCTTGTTTGGAATTTCAGGTGCACTCCAGCCCACGAGACTGATGTGCACCCAAAAGTCCAAGTGGCGACTCATTAATTAGCAGCAAAAAAATCTCATGCAAGTTATGCCATTTGCCTTCTGCAGGTATAAATAAGCAATGGGATTTTGGCCATTTTAGCCCCCATTCATTGGTAGAAAAATGGCATAAAAATGAGAAAGGAGGGGGTTGTTGGGTTGTAGGGGTTTGTTTTTTTCTATGTATATGTTTTTTCACCCTTGGGATGTACATTCTAATTCCACTAGCCAATATGGCAGCTGGTTTGCTTAAGGGCTTTGAGGGGATTTTAGGTAGAAATAGACTGTAAGGAATGGGGGGGGGGGTTGTAGGCATTGTAGTCCGAAAACAACTTTTCTAAGCTCTGGTGTAAACAAATGATTAGAGCAGGCTGGGGAGTAGGGGACCAAGTAGCAGAGCAAGATGGGAATCAAGGAAGCAAAGGCACTGAGTTGTCTCCATCGTGTTCTTCAGGACAACATATTGGAGAATGTGCTGAGTGCCCTGGATCTCTCCAGTTCCCAGGCAGGTGAGTAATGGGGATCAGAAATGAATCTGGGAAAGGGATAGAGAGGATTGTGGAAAAAACAAGGGGCAAAAAAAATTAATAAGGGTTCACCCTCTTAAAATGATCCATATTCTGTAGTCAGATTCTACTGTACAAATAGTACATGATGAGGAGCCCAAACCTGTTAATGTTCCAGAGATGCAATTCAGGCAGGTCTTTGTGACAGAGTAAGCTTATTTGCAAACAAACCTGTGCTTACCGTTCAGTGATGCATCACAAACCAATTAAGCTAAATTCACAGACTGGGAGATGTGAAGGATTCTTGCTGTGATAATCAGACATTTTCAGCACTTAAATAATTTCCTCTGTGAGTGATATACTATTTTTAATATACTGTACATTCTGGCCCTCAGACTTGGTCATGTGCTTACTTTGTCTCTTTCTTTGATATACTGTAAACGATTTATTTCCATTACTGAATTTGTGCAGAATTTGTACGTTTTTTGAGGCATGAAGCCACGATGTGCTAGAAAAATAGATTCCCCCCTCCCCCAAAAAAAATCCAGAGAGAAGAAATTCTCCCGTCACCTTTTACTTGACTAGAAAAGAACATGCTTGCAGGCAGGTGGCTGGTACACATTGCAGAATCTCTTCCTCCCCCTCTGAGATCCTTTGCATTGTACTCCTTACAGCTATGGCTTGCAACCTTTGCAGTGGAGGAGACTAGGAGTCAGATTTAAAGAGATTTCAGCTGTAGGTACTAGACTTTGTGTGTGTATGATGAAACACAAGAAGCAGCTCTGATTGTGGTTGGATTCCTACGTCATATGGGAGAAAGGTTGGGAATGCTGCCTTTAGCTTCCTATTTCACCCCCTTGGTTCATCTTTCTCATCAGAGATATGGAACCAAGAATTCCTTCTAAATCCCAGGAAGCAACATTATAACCCATTTCTGCCCCAGTCCTCTTAGCCAACTGTCCTAATGTACTAAGACACCTTTCCTATCCTGGAGCCTTCCAGATGTTGTGGACTCCAACCCCCATCATTCCCAAACAGCTAATGGGTAGCTGGATTCAAAATATCTGCAGGGCACCAGCATGGGAAAGACTGCTATTGAGTCCTTCAGTTGAGGTTTCCGCAGTGTACTCTTCTGTCCTGGTCATCTGTAAGTTAGGCATTAATAATCTTTCGTTCTTTCCCCCCTGCAATGTTTCATGCCAGAAGTGGAAAATCCTGTTTGGGGTGGAAGCCTGTCCGATACCAACCTGGATCTGAGTCTGACAACCACAGGGTCACCATTGGGACCAATCTTGGGAACCAACATGTATGGTGAGCTTCTAGGATCTCTAGACCAAGGGTGGGCAAGTTGTGGCTTGATGACTGAATGCGACCACACAGGTGTTGTTGTTTTTTTGCTCCTCCCAGAGGTCTCCACCCCCTCTTATGAAAAAAAAATTATTTGCAAATCAAAATGAGTGGTTTACAAACCAGCCTTGGGATTGTCTCCTAAGAACCCTAACTGCACACCCCCAAATTAAACCAAACCAAGCCAAACCAGGAGCATTCCTCAGCTAGTTGTTGTAGTGGGGGGGGGCTATGGTGTCTGGCAAATTCCTGGTGGTCTACTGTGGGCCCCGGAGCTTCCAAAGGTTATTTACCCCACCTAAAAAAGGGCATTTCCCCAGGGACTGTTAAATGTTGGCTTTCTTAGGTTTCTACCTGACCCACTTGTGTGTGGCGTATGTTTTGAATCTTTTGCTTCTGCAACCCAGTGCAAGAAGAAAATCCAGCTTGCTATGGAGACCAGCCTCCACCCAGTTTGAATCCAGTTGTCGTCACAGTGACACCCTTGGAGCAGATCTTGGCATCTCCTACATTTGGTAAGCTTCTGGGATATAAAGGAAAGAGTTGTTTCTCTGGTGACTGCTGTGGAGAAGGGAGTCTGTGCCAGTACCTCTAGGCAGAGTCATCACCCGGGCAGAGCAAGCAGGGCTTTTGGCTGAAGGCAGCGAAATACAGTGGTGCCTCGCAAGACAAGTGTAATTTGTTCCGCAAGTAGCACTGTCTTTTGAAATTTTCGTCTTGCGAAAAGTAGTTTCCCATAGGAATGCATTACAATGCATTCCTATGGGAATCTCACAAGACAAAAATAATTCATCTTATGAGGCATCGGTCTTGGGGCGAAAAATCATCTTGTGAAACATGGCCATAGAAGCCGTCTTGCGAGGCACCACAGCAGTCGCAAAAACTATTCATCTTGTGGGTTTTTCATCCCACGAGTTGTTCGTCTTGTGAGGCACCACTGTACAGAGCATGAAAAAAAATTGCCGCTGGACGGGTACGATGCCCACACGGAGATTTGATGTTGGAAAGGCACAAACCTACATGTTCCAAGTTTTCACATTATGGCCAAGTGCTTCTCCCTATGAAGGGAACACAAACCAAGTGGGCTCAGCACTGAACCAGTTTTACACTAAGACCCAAGCATGATCATTCCCATTCCTCTGTCTTTAATCTGTGTATACCTGTTTCACGTGACATAGGCTTAACGCAAGAGGGCACTGAAATTGCTAGTCCCCCTTTAATCTGTGTATACCTGTTTCACGCAAGAGGGCACTGAAATTGCTAGTCCCTGTTGTGCCTGAAGAACATATATCCTTCATATTTTAGCAAAATGTGCAATTTGGGTGGATCTAGAGGCCAGGTTTCCATCCCCAGAACCAGCTGCATAACATATAACTGAATAAAATTGCCTCTCCAAATAAAAAGACACACCAGCTGAAATCGAATTGCACACTCAAGCAATGAGTGTAGCTTTTGGAAACAGATTTCCATAAATTAATAACTCTCACTAGATTACCAGTTACATAGTAAACTGCACGGCACGGTATGCAACAGCCAAGGTCTGCAGAGATTTACTAACTTAATGACATTTTTTACTTAAAAATTGGACCATTTGGCTGAAATCCTATTGTGCAGGTACACAATGTGGCATTTCCAAATCCCACCCACCCCACCTCAGCCCATGCATATGCAAAGGAAGGTGTTTGCTTTATAGAGAACAGGGCTTCCTGGAGGGTTCTGGTAGTGGTTCAAGGACTGAGGGTGTTGCC